GGGGGGGCATGCTAGACTGTTATTCTCCACCTTCTTCTCAATGTCCTTCCATTCTGGTGAAACTGCATTTCACCACCTCCATTGTCGGCGTGGATGTGTCTATTGATTCTGGTAAAGCCAACAATTTCGTATCTGCCTCCCTTGTGGGGAAATTTGCCTGGGCTATAGAACCCCTTTCTCATATTCTGCATGTGTCAGCCATTGATGATACTATTCTGGCTTGTGGTCCTATTCGTTCTTGGACCTCTTTCATCAAGATGTCCATGGGAGTGCTTCACCATGAAACCATCTCCTTTTTGCCAGGCCTCTTCTAAGCTTGTCGTAGGTTTCCAGTGATCATCTGGTCAACCTCTCAACTGGTATCCTGGGGTCCATCTTGTCATGCAAGATGTCTCTCCAAGGTGCTTCCTGGTAAACCACTCTGGGTGGCATCTTCTGTGGCCTCTACTCTAGTGCCAGTCCATTATGAGTACTATTTGGATGTTTTTCTAAATGAAAGGCAGATCAGCTTCCTCCTCACAGACCATATGACACATCAACTTAATTTCGGGTTCTTGCACTCCTAGTGGCCAGGTGTATTCCTTTAGTCTACCAAGGCTATGTCAAAGTACATTGCAGAATATCTTCAAAAGGTGTTCATCTACAAGTCAACTTCTCCTGCTGGAGCAGGATTTTTCTTTGTTGAGAAAAAAGTTTTACAGTTTACAGTTAAAAACAGATACTCATTGCCCCTCATTTCAGAGGTATTTGATTGTCTCCAAGGGGCTTCAATTTTTACGAAGTTAGACCTATGTGGGGCATATAACTTGATATGCATAAAGGAGGGAGATGAATGGAAGAATGCGTTCAACACCAGGGAAGGCCATTATGAATACCTAGTGATGCCCTTCGGCCTATGAAACGCCCCAGCATTCTTCCAGCATTTTGTCAACGAGATTTTCCGCGACCACCTCTATGTGTTTGTAGTGGTCTATTGGGATGACATTTTTATCTTAAGCTCTGATATTATCACTCAAAGACAGCACATCAGACTTGTTCTTCAGCATCTTTGTGACAATGGTCTTTATGCTAAAGCAGATAAATGCCTTTTTGAGCTTCCTCACGTGCCTTTCTTTGGCTACATTCTTGCCATGGAACCTGAAAAGTTGGCTGCAATAACTAACTGGCCGCTACCCAGTGGCCTCAAGGCTACCCAGCATTCACTGGGATTTACCAACTATTGTTGCCAATTTATTAAGAATTACTCTGTGCTAGTTGCTCCTTACGTCAGCTCACTAGTCCTATCCCACTTCGTAAGCCCCGGAGCCTACCTTCCCACTGTGGCAGCCTGTAATAATACATATGGTGCTATTGCACATGTCTTCATGATAACTGGATGGAATTCTTCTATAATAATTCTCTTAGTTCGTCTACCAACCAGACACCTTTTTTCTCCAATTATGGTTTCCATCCAACTCCATCCCCATCAGATTTAATCCAAACTAACCACCCAGCTACAGAAAACTATATACATTAGTTACAAGAGATATTTGAACAACTCAAGAAATACTGGAAAAGCTCAAGTGAAACAGAAACATTATTACGATCTCAGAAGAAGAAAACCACCAGAATATCAAGTGGACAACTTAGTATGTGTCTCTACAAGAAACCTCAAGTTGAAGCTATTTATTGGTCCTTTTCCAATACGAGAGTTTATGGGGTTGATTTACTAACCTTTTAAACACACCACGAACGTGTATACACCTCTGTAGTGTGTTCCCTCCCAGCATGATCTATGGGAGGAATCGAAACACCTTTGTAGTGTGTACACACCCAGCAGGTGTGTTGTGCAAAGCCCTGCAATGAATTGCAAGGTAATGTGGTGTAAATTAGCTCTATGTTATGTTGCTTGCGTTGATGAATGCAGGAATGTAAATGCATGAGCTAACCATTTTTGTCTAAACTGTGAAGCAGCATTATATATGCATCATGTGCATGATTTTTCCATATATGGCATTAGTGGAAATATGCTTTTAGAGACTTTTTGGTTGATAAATACGTTTTGCTGTGTGAAAATCACACACACCTGGTGTGTGTGTGTGTTTAGGTTAGTAAATCACCCCCCATGACTCAGTCCACAGTATGTCTTACTCTACTATGAGACCTGTTTCTCTATTAAAGGGTCATAAAAATGATAGCTTTACTAATCATTCGCCACCCTTAGAACCCCCAATACTTGTCCAAGGACAAGTATAATATTAAGTTGAATTCTATATTTATGAAGGTTTAGGAATAAATCTGCAATACCTGATTTTTTGGAATTCTTACGGTTTCCAAGACGACTCATGGGAAGACGCTACCATTTTACATGCACCTCGACTAATTAAACATGTTCATTTACATTATCCTCAGAGACCTATTGGGAAAAGATCCCCTTGAGTGGGTCCTTGCAGGGGGGTACTGAAAGATAGTTACCGGGTCCTCGATTCGGGAACAAAGTCCAGCACTGTCTACTTTCCAATCAGCTCCCTCGCCGTCACTCGGCTCCAGCTCTATAAGCCAACTGTGAGATTATAGCTGGAAAGTTTAAAAATACTCAGTGTCCAAGTAATGCAGCTCATGCTGAGCATTTCCTCTGCCACAGCTATACCAATCTTCATCCTGAATTTAAACCTACAATATACCTTTCCACACTCTCTAAACTAGGTGAATAAGAAAAGAGTACTCACCTATCCACTCACCATGCTGTGTTAGGAATTGTATACTCAACTTCCCTGTGCATGCCGTGAGACTCCAGTTCACTTAAAGATGCAGTACTTCCTCCTGTGCACTCTGCAAGAGCTCGCACAGGAACAACTGCAACATCATTCTTGTACACTCTGCATGGACTCTTGGGTGAGTTAGTCCTCAGCTTTTCCACATTATGCCACTAGGAAGACCTGACACATCTAAATACAAGTATATGCATTTGTTCAACTTGCAGAGTTGCTTTACCAAACACTACTGTCGTTAAATGTTACTTAGCATGCCAATAATGGTTGCAGTATAATTGGCAAGCAATAGCTTAATGGTATCTTATTGGGTGTAGCTCTATAGGACTCATAACCCCCACCTTATGGATGCTAGGGACATTTGTGTTCTAGCTGGTCTCTTCTGTTGCTATTCTGCAAAGCCTGTATGAAGTAATACAGTCTGTCAGCGCTCTTGAACTCCTTCTAAAATTGGACTGCAACTAATATCCCTTCCATGACATTATTTCTTGAGGTAACATCCTGTTCCTCCCCTGTGTGTAGCCATAACAGCAGCTCCATCCACAGTTGAGATCTGTTACGGATTAAACATTGCAGTGTATTACAGTCATATATTCTTACTAAATGTTATTGCTGCTACCAAGGACAATATAATAAGGTTGTATCTGACACCAAATACTGTGTGTAGACTTTTATTACATGATAGTAAGGATCTCTAGAAATTCTTATTAGTACAAGAAGTGGCATTGAAACTTTGGTTTAAAGATAACTCTTTTACTGGAGATCTCAAACAGCAAACTATCCAGGCAAGCCATTTTTCTACTCCTCTCACAGGTCTGCTCTCCAGTCCAGAACATTCAGTCTTTTACTGAACCTAACTATAAGCACTATAAGCCAATAGTATACTGCTCTCTGCTTCTGTCAGTGAAAAAGCAAAATGGCTGTGTGCATTTTCCAGTGAATCTGTACATTCAAATAGAATTGAATCTATATGTGGTAATGTGCTATAGCTTACAGTAAAAATAAATGGAGGGGGTGTGGCGAAAGCAAATAAAAAATAATATGCACATATGTTTTCCCAGTACAACGACAGCCTATCACTCTTTCAAGCCAATGCATAGATTTTCCCACTGCAGACATCTTTCCCTGTCCTCCATTAGGCAATCAAAGACGATGCAACTCACACATGCAAGACACAGTTACAGCATAACACCACTAGGCACCCCTTTTTGGAATCTGACTGATGCTGGAAATGTACACTGCACTGCACATTTGTATCAGGCAGTGTAAAACGATGCTAATAAAAAAGGGAGAAAGAAACAGTACATACTAGCAATGTTTTATGGTTCAGTTCCACATTAAAGAGAAATTCAGTTAAAAGCGGTAAGTAAACTACTAAATATATGAAGTGTACACTGCAGCTGAGCTGTATGGCAGAGTTTTACAATTGTAGTATGTCATGTTGCACAGTTCTCCTTTAAGGTGTCCCATTATTACCCTGTCTTTCATTATGTTATATACACATGCTAGAAAATCTTTACATTGGTCAACATTTTCTTAAATCTCCTATCTAAACAACAATCAGTAATAGCTATATAGTTGTGCAATTATACATTGCAGGTCACCAAGAACAACACCATAACACTGAAATAAATAAGGATTAAGTTGTTTATGGAACTGTTAAGTGTATGTTGGCATGGTAAAAAAATATAATAGTTACTTGCCAAAAAAAATGCTAAGCCCTATTGCTAGAGATACAAACTTCTTAAAACAAATATTATT